TCGATATTCAACACTCTGGATAGAACAATGGTTAGTGAAGTAATGCAATTAGGTGATTGTAATAGTAGAGCCACCTATCAAGCATTAATGAACCACATTTTCTAGCCTTACTTGGGTGACTGGATGGATATCTATCTAGATGACTTAGTGATTTATTCAGACACGATTGAGGATCATATGCAACATCTCAGAACTGTCATTGATATATTGTGCAAGGAGAAATTCTACCTCAGTGAACATAAGATACAATTGTTCCAGAAAGAATTGAAGATACTAGGCCACATTATCAATGATCAAGGCATTAGAATGGACCCTCATAAAGTCGATTCTATTCAACAATGGAAAGTACCTACTAATAAAGATTTGTTACAAGGTTTCTTAGGATCAGTAGGGTATTTAGCACCCAATATACCTCAGTTACACATTTCTACAGGTATTTTATCAAAAATTGCAGGAGAAACTGCATTTTTCAGATGGACATTCACTGAACAGCAAGTATTTGATCAAATAGTAAAGCTAGTATTGGATTTCAGGCACAATCACAGGATAGTATTGGACTATAGTAAGAATGCACCACCTATCAACATTGTTACAGACACTTTGGCTTCAGGAATTGGAGGAATAGTCAGCCAAGGTCATGATTGGAAAGATTCCAAGATAGTAGTGTTTTTCTCAGCAAAATTAAACCCTGTGCAACAGAATTACCCAGTACACAATGTAGAATTACTAGCAGGAGTAGAAACTATGCTAAGACACAAGAATCTACTACAAGGAACGCATTTCTTTTGGTATACCAATCACAGAGTGTTAGAACACATTCTAAGGCAACTGGCATTAAGTGGAAGACAAGCTAGATGGCTAGAGAAGATATCAGACTTCCATTTCACTGTAAAGTACATTCCAGGCACTACAAACATTCTTGCAGACACGTTATCATGTATATACTCAGGAGATTTACTAGGAACAACTCAATCTCAGCAAGAATATACATTGCAACTTGACAACAATGATCTATCAAGGATTAATCAAGTTAGGAATAGCATTTCACAGCTGTTAGAGATACAGGATACTGTATATATTGAGGCTAGACTAGTAGCAGTAAGGAAAACTTCACCTCAAGGATCGATTACAAGTCGACTGTACAACAGAAAGGCTAGATTAATTACCAGACATGCCAGAAACTCACAGACAAACCTCCAAACAGAGGGCAGGCCTGCTACAAGGACTAGAAGCTAGTTTACAATACCAGAGAATGTAGAGTGAGATCAGGAAACAGATACACACAGTAAGGTATCAGAAACACTGCCTCAGAACACTGAACAATTGGATTTGCATGAAATAAATTCACCTGCAAACGTACCAGACACCAGAAGTAATACATAAGGATACAGACATTCATACAATGATATTAGATTGGAAATTAATGATCAGAACGTCCCAGTACCAAAGAACACTACTAATCAACTCTGGAACTCGATTGAACTGTAGTTACCTGATATAATAGCTCAATCTTCACTGGATTTACAATTCCCAGAATGTCTCAAAGGCAGATATTATGAGGATAACTTCTTCAATCAGATATTACAAGATCCAAAGCACTTCCAGAATTTTCATATTGAAAATGGACTCATATTTTGCTAGGAGGGTGAGAGGTACATACTTTACATACCTAGAATTCTAATACACAACAGAAACACTAGGGAAATTGTAATAGAGTATGCACATTCTATTTTGGCACACCTAGGACTGTGAAAGACACTTTTGTACCTTAGAGAACAAGTTTGGTGGAAGGATATGATCATAGACATTAATTCCTACTGCAATTCGTGTCATACATGCAAGATCAGCAAACCTAACAATCAGAAACCGTTTGGTTTACTACATCTGCTCTCAGTACCTAATAGGCCTTGGGAAGGCATAGGAATGGACTTTGTTGGACCTTTTCCTGAATCAAAGAACTGTTTGGGACCTTTTGATATGATTTGTACAGTTATTTGTCTATTAACTGGTATGGTACACATTATTCCTACTAGGCAAACATACAGAGCAAGAGAAATCGTAGAGATAGTATTTGAAAACATCTATAAACTGTATGGACTGCCTAATTACATTGTTAGCAATTGTGATTCCCTATTCACCAGTACGTTTTGGAGAAGATTACATGAACTTATAGGTATTAAATTGAAGCTATTGAGCACATATCATTCACAGACCAATGGATTGACTGAGAGAATGAACAGAACAATTACTCAGATGCTCAGACAGTGTATTTCTCCTAAACAAAAAGATTGGATACATAAACTACTAATGATCAAGTACACTATCAATACAGCAAGGTCAGAAACTACAGGATATGCACCATTCTTTCTAAATTACAGTCAGATGCTAAGGAACTTGTTATGGAACAACCCCAGG